TGGTTACTTTTACTCGTAACTGGTTTCTTTTATTGTGGAGTAACTCAGTTAGTAACTCAGTTACTTTTTGAGAGAAGTAACTGGTAACTATAACTAATTACTTTTTCAAAGTAACGTGCCCAACACTGCATATGACTGTTTCACCCCAAAGAACACTTCCCCGGGTACCAGCAAAGAAACATTGGATAAGCTGTTGGAGTCAAGGATGACAGGGCCCAGTTCTACATGGGGGAAACAAAGCTGCCATTGGCCCGGCAAAGTAGAGCCAAACCATCAGGCCAAGTTATAGAGTTTCCACTTATCTTACTAGTGAAGATTGTTAGTCATCAAGGTCATAGTAATTCAGTAAAAGTTTAAAAAACAATCCACTGGACTTGATTTCCAAGGTTTGAAGACATTTTGCTTCCACTCCAGGGAAGGTCATGTATTGCTTGGGAAAATGCAAGTTTCAGTATCGATTTGCATGTTTCCAAGCAATACAAGGTCTTGCTTATATAAAGCCTCAAACTCAATGTGAATCCAGATTGTTTTTTAAACTTTTACGGAATCCACTTATCTTAAGTTGGAGATAGGATTATAAGAAGCCATTCCGGTGAAGAGAAAATATTAATCTGTGACACATCTTACTTCAATTTCTTTAGTTTGCAGTGGGGAGACTGGAGAAACCTGCAGAGATCCTTCATTCCAGTGTTCAACATGGTCCCATTCAGAGTAAGTTCTCTTAGATGGGATGGATTAGACTTAAGAGCTTTGCTCAGAGAATCCCAGCTGATCTCTGAAAAATTGCAGTTGATCAATCTGAAAAAAGAATAAAAAGATTGCAGATTAAAACTGGAATACAAAGAAATCATCAAAATGTAGAAAATAAGTTTGGCTAAACGTAAAAGTCGCAGAAACATGATTAACTGATGCATAATTTTTGATCCCACAACACTGACTGAATGAGTTAAACCAAGCAGAACCAGAATATGTTCTGATGACACGTGAAGGTCCAGATCAAGGTGTGTTTTTAGTCTCCACCAGACCAAGAGCAGAGCTGCAACA